GGAGATATTTAAAGAACACAACTGTTCTGTTGTGTTTATGCTACATGTTAAACACAACACTGAAGACCAAACAATTGACAGCTATTAAGGAAGGAATTGATTTTTATATTCCTCTGAATGGGCTAAGAAGGGAAGACTTATTATAGAGAGTGATTGTAAAAATGCAGTGGAATGGGTTTCTAAGCAGCTCTCTTCCCCTACATTTTTCAGTTCTCTGGTGGAGGAAATTGGGGCTTTAATTACTGCTACGGGCACTGTTCTTAGATGGATTCCTAGGAGTTGTAATATGGAGGCCGACAAGTTAGCTAAGCAGGGGATTGGTTGATTGTAGTAAGCTTATTGTTTTAATGTTTTGTGTTTTTTTCGGGCTATGCATAGGCTAAAAGTCTGTAATGGTGTTGCTAGTTTGGTAAACAGGTCACCCAATCAGAGGCTGTTGCCTTAGCTTAGTTGGTTTAGCCTAAATTAGTGTTGTTGTTTATGGTTGTTTACTGGTGTTTTATGGTTTTCTGTTTTTAATGGGGGTGTTTCTCTGGATGTATCTTATGTAATTCCAGATATTTAATATAATCCTAAGGCACTCTTTTCCTCCTTCCTCTGATTAAGGAGCTTTCTTACAAGCTCCATTAATCAAGAAGGAGGTTTTTAACGAGGTCTTCAATTCTTAGCAAAAAAAAAATCTGACTGTAACTATATGTTTTGATGACAGACTTGATATCTGACTGCAAAAAATGTTGCACGGAAGACTCGGATGATTCTACAAGTAAGGTATGAAATGTGCTTTGGAGATGGCTTTTCTTCCTTTTTTTTTGGCATTGGAGGAAGGTTCAAGATTTTATGCTTTACTAGATCTCCAACCACCAATGTTTGTTCACTAAATCTCTCTTACTCTTCATCCGCTATGTTTCTTCTTCCAAATAATCTTTTTCAGTTCTATATTGCACCTACTGGAAGTCATTTAATTCTTAGATTAGATTGAGAGTTGCGAAAGGGAGGATGTTTCTGTTTAGCAGAAGTGTTCATGGATTCTTACATAGCTATTGAACCCCTAGCATGTATGATACTAATGCAGGTACCTCTGACAAAATGACACTTTTTATTTGTATTAAGGGTTTTAGCTTCTTAGACTTTGCATGTAAAAATATGGGATATGTCTTGTCTTCTTTCAGAAATGCCGTTTACCAACAACTGTACTCTTACATCGTATAACGACTAATTCCCCGACTATAGTCATCTTCAAGTAGGGAATCCCCTTAATTGTGACTTGCACTTCTGTGTCCCTTTAGTCTGCTCACTTTGATTTTGGTTTTCTCCTTTTTATTCGTGAAAGGTGCAAAGCGAACAATACAATGGGACTGCTGGATAAAAAGCTGCTAAATTCTAGATATTTGTTGTTCCCTTGTTCTCAATCATGTTTCTTGCTGTGTGTTTTTTCTTTCCCCCAATTTCTAAAGTTTGTATCTATATTTGTGCAATTGCAGATTACATATTCAGGTGCAATACTGGAAGTGTGCATGAGGAAACTAGTATTCTATCCGGAAATCGTTGGTTTCATTGAAGAAGAGAAGGACAAATTTCCGACAGTTAAAACTCAATATCTTTTCAATTCTCCTCCCAAGTTGATCATGTTGGATGATGAGGGCCAACATAAGGAAATTATAAGGTTAGGTTCCTCTTATTGATGCACTTAGCTCATATTGAATTGAAATGCTATATTCACTGAATAAAGAAGAATTTGCTCGGACAGCAACTTTGGCTTCCTCAGCATTTAAAGTCAACATCCTAGCATGTTTATCTTCTACCTTGCCCCTTTTGTTTTCTCCCTCTATAATCTACTCTCTCTAAAGCTATACTGAAAGATGCAATATGAATAAAAGTGATCTTCGTTTATGGCATAAACGTTATGCAGTAAGTTCTAGTTTTGTTTAGACGAGTGAGCTTTGTCTTGTTAATTCTCCAGATACATGCATACATGCAAAAAAAAGGAGCCTTTTTTGGGAGTTAGAAAACAACAGTGTCCCAATTTTGTAGTTTGCATTATCCTTGCTTGCATTATGGTGAAAACAACCCTAACTCTTGCGATTCTTGTGCAGAATTGACAATTGGAAACGGGAGCACATACTGCAATTTTTGCAGAAGAAAGTTCAACCCAATTCCGCAAGCTCGTAGACACTTCGGTTCAGATTCCAGTTATTGCAAGAGAAAGTCGAACCTAATGCAGCAAGGTTGAGTGATTTATTTGTGTTAGCCTTTGTTGCTTTCATAAATATGTGCTTGATCTTGACATAATAATCGAGTATACAGTCTATCAGACACTACTATAAGGCAAAGTGATATGAACAAGGTGTGCCCTTATAAAAAGCAGGGGGCTCATGTATGTATCATGTTCATGCCCCTTGAGAGAATTATAAATTGGATTGTGATTATTATTTGGGTAAACTACTCCAATGGTCGCCAATGGTCTCTAATGTTAGGATAAGTGTTTTTTTACCACAGATGTTTAAAATGTCACAAATCAGTTACTAACGTTATCGTCTGTTACAAAATGGTCATTGATGTTAACAGTCGTTAATAGGCGTAACGAAAAATATAGCTGGATCGTTATTTGCTGAGTTAGATCGTTGACCGCCACAGCTGGGCCATTTTGGCTTGCTCTTCTTCTTCTTCAAATTGTTCCCCATCTTCTTCTTCTTCACTTAAGCGTCACCCATTTTGCACTTTTATTTTTCTTTTTCCAATATTTCTTTGAAAACATATGTAAAAACTGTCACAGTCGTTCCCCATGTTTCTGCGAAAAAAATTAATGATCGATTTCATAATGTTCATCGTCTTAAATTTTTGAAATAAATAAATAAATGAAAACTTAATGAACGAAGGGTAGTGAAATTTGAGAGACTTGGTGAATTCAATACTCTGTAAAAAAAACCCTCAAAATTTCGATCACAATCGGTGTTATCGGTTGTATGTTTGACCCCATAAACCAGCATGCCTCGTAAATCAGCCTCCAGGATTTTCTTCAAGCACTCTGCGGCCTTCGTCAAGGTTTCGCCGGCGCAAAAATGTTAAAAGTTTTCAATATGATATCATGTAGCAAAGGCGTTTCGATGAGGCGGGAATTCATAACCCATGTACCGAAATCAACGAAAGTCTCATTGGAAGCTAACCAGAGGTTGACGATGAATGTAAAAGCCTCAACGTCAAAACCAAAGAGAAAAGCTTTTGAAGATCATCAAAGTCGAGAGGGGTTGTTGTTGTTGGTGGTAGTGGTAGTTGGTGTTTCTTGACGGTGGAATGTTCAGATTTCTCATCGAAATTCAAGGGAGAAAAAATGAATCTTCTTCTTCTTCAACCCAACCCCATCTTCTTCTTTTCTTCTTCACAAATGGTCAAGTTGTTAACATATTTTGGTGGTAATGTGATGTTGATCGGTTTTGTTTCATGAAGGCATTTGACCGGAATCGAAGAGCTTTAGTGATGAAATAATGAGACAGATTCTACTGAAGTGGCGATGAAAAGAAAAGTGAAGAGAAAGAAAGAAAGAAGAAGAAAAATGGAGAAGAAGAAAAGAAGAAGAAGACGGGTAACGAGTTGATGAAGAAAAAGAGTTAGTCAAAATGGTCCAGCTGTGGCGATCAACGATCCAACTCAGCAAAAAACGGTCTAGCTGTGTTTTTTGTCACACCTATTAACGATTGTTAACATCAAGTGACCATTTTGTAACAAACGATAATGTTATTGACTGATTTGTAACTTTTTAAACATTAGTGGTAAAAATGAACACTTACCTTAACATTAGTGACCACTGGCGTAGTTTACCCTTATTATTATTATTTACTGTTATTTTATTTAAATTAAATATGGATCTTTCTCAAGGTTTTAATCTTCTTCATTTTCTATTAATCTGGGTAAGTACAAGACATTATTTGTTTTAAAATAACTCTTCACCTCTTAACATTGAACGCTCACACCCTTGACGTTCTCTCAAGGAACGATAATTGTTGCTTTACCATGGAGATCACTCGGTTCGTGCTTTAATTAGCCCCCCAACGTTTTCTAAAATGATCATTTTGGCCCCCAATGTTTCATTTTGGGTCAAAAGGGTCCATCCGTAGATGAAAATCCTTAGTTAACAAACGGTTAACATCTCAAAATGAGGCCTTTTTTACCCTAAAATGAAATTGCTTCAAAAAAAGAATAAGGGTCAAAGTGACTATTCAAGTAAATATTATGGGCTTTTTTGCCCTAAAATGAAATGTTTGGGTAAAAATGTTTAAAAAAATAAGGGCCAAAATGATATTTTGGTAAATGTTGGGAGGCTAATTTGGCATTATACCAAGAAAATTTAATGAATTGAACTATGAATCCTCGAAGACTTTTGTGCAGTTTCCGGCGAAGATACATCGCAAGCCATGCAGCACGCACATGCTGCCGGTGTCAACGTAGGGGTCAGTGATCAAAACTGTCAAATGTGAAAGGATTTCTAAGCAATGGCTGCCGATGGTGGTCCACAATTCAGGCCAATGATGGTGAAAGAAAGCGCCATTACAAAATGACCTCTCAACACATAGGCCAACCGCCAACTGATCACCATTAATGCCACTGTTGAATTTTAAATACTACGCACAGGTAGTTGTCACTAATTATCTGAAAATGTGAATATGTATTTCCCATTTCCCATCATGACCTGTACGTTTATCCCCTATTCTGAGTGCCTTGGGTTGCTTCAAAAGGACACATCAGTTAATTCATGTCAGGAAGTTTGTATACTCCAATAGCTCGAATGCAGATGGGTCCCGGCACCGACATAAAACTAATCTAAGACCAATGATTCTGCCTACCACCATCCTATATCTTAGTTCATTACCTCTATAAGTTTTTGTTACAACCAGGAAATTTTTGTGCCTTGGATAATAAGTTGGTTACCTACTAAACCCATTCAGTGTATCCCGAATCCTTCCAATTGCCCTGAAATGAAACGTCAATTGAATTGTGAGATAGCTTTAGTCGAATTTAGGAGATGCGGTCTTGATGGGAGTCCAAATATCGGCACCGTTGCTCTGAGCAATTCCTACGGTACAAGAGACCGGAACAAGACATAAACCTCGGTTTCTCAGGCTATAATGCTCTACATTCTGGAACATAAAAACAAATCCCATGAAAATGTCACTTACATCTCTATAGTGTTTCATGCTACTTATCATAAAATTTTACTACTTCGTGCCCATTTGATGCTCACCTGCGTATTACTTGGTGTTGTTTGGAGGTACGGGGCACTCAACACCTGTAAACACCCCTAAAAATGTTTCTCAGCATACCCAAAAAGTACAATGGGAAACAAAAACCAACCTTAACTTGTTCGTGAAGAAATTGTATGTATTCCATTCCCTCCGGTAGGACAGAAGAAGTATCTGTCTGCAGCGAACCAACACGGCTTCACAGTTGAACCTGGATAGGCAACTTCTGTTATTAAAGACATGAACAAATGCTACTCCGATGTATATGATTAATGAATTGACCTTTCCGTACGGTGAAACAAGCTGCTGCAGAGCGACAATGTGTTCACTGTGTTCTTTTCTATCCTATTGCAAGAAAGAGTAAACTAAAATTAATACTAATATTTGCAACAAACAAAATCAAAATCATATAACATTTGGTTTAGTACATAGTGAAGAAATGAATCTAGAATCTAGATATAACTTGTATCATCGAGAAGAGATTTAATGTAGAGTAAAGACAGCTAGAAAACCCTTTGTGGAGATAGACAAATCCGCCTTCTTCCGTTTCGATGCCAAAGAAGCGAGACTGCTATAGTCGACAGAGCAAGGACCCCTTTTGTTTTCTATCATCTTTCCAATCTCCATCCCTGGTTCACAAGTTGAAAAGAGGAGACAGAATCACACTCGACTTACATGAAAAGCATACTCAAAGATACCCAAGAAAACAAGTTCTTATTTTTATACCAGAAGAAATTCAAGGCAAAACAAAAATGTCTGAAAACAATAGCATCGGAAAGCTTGAGGCCTTGTTGAAAATGGTGATCGGAGAAAGGCACCCGACTATATATAGACGTCGACGGTCAATTTATTTGGGTCAGAGAAGCATACATGGTAGAATTCATATAATTTGAGCATACAAACGAGCTTTAATCATTCTCACTACACACTTAAAAAGAATCAAATTTTATATAAACCACACGAGACATAAAATAAGAAAATCCGGAAAGAAATCGAGTTCCATGGACAGTGGCTAATCATACCTTCATGTATCAGAGACATAATTTTATAGACATCCATTCATTAATGCAAGCATATCAACATCGTTAACAAACATTATCATCAAAATGTTGGCTTTGTTGGTAAAATAGACTGCTGCAAAACGAGGCGTTAGCACTGACTGAAAAATATTAAATAAAATAATCAATCAGAATGATAACCGTGTCGTGGTAATCCACTGCCTTAGAAGCAAATTCGTCCCGATGTGTGTAATCGCTACTATGGATGAACAACCCCCTGAGATTAACACGGCTCTCCAAGAATTCGTACACCCGAAAACTGGAGTGAACTTGGTGATATTGCTCTTCTCTCAACTCAAACAACATTCAAAAGATAGGAGTGTTTCAAAGCAAATGTTTGCTTGGGATTACTCAAAGTGAATGAAATTGTCCTCTAGGCTAAATAGTGAGGGAAAAATAGTCACTTCCAAATCATAATTTAATTCTATTAAACATAGAATTAAAATCCTTTAAAAGACTGTTACAAATTGAGCATTACCAACATCCCCCCACTAATGCGAAAGAATTCTTTCGTAAAGATGAGAGCAATGAAGTTAAAACATGAGAAGAGCAATAGCGAGATTAGTTGCTTAAGCACTAGTGAACATATCTGGAACTAGTACATAGTGATGATGAGCAATCTTTCTCTTAGATAAGTGAAACTAGTCTGGAACTTTCTAAGATTGGGGTAAACTCATAACACACAACTAACCCCTTCATCCACCAAAGTTCTCGATGTGTCTACAAAGAATATATACAAAAGCGTATATATGTTTAGCCCTCTTTCCTTAGGATTCTAATAAGTGTACTAGAAAAACGGCCCAACGTTTTTCATAGAAGATGGCTAATCCTTCTCACTTACGTAGGTTATTTCATCAAGTTTATATCAACATAAACCACTCAAACTAAGCTATGAAATAATTAAGAACTTTTATAATAGCTCAACCTCACAAAGGGTATGGTGACTTTCTTCAAGTTCATTATTAATGAACCACCCAAACTCTGGGATAAGAAGTCATTAAGAATAAATATTCAGCCTCATAATTCGGTGAATTCAATATGTCCTTCTCACTAGGAACTCCCATTCAATATGTTCTTCTCATTAGGAACTCTCAAACTCTTGGGTTTGAATTCATTAAGAGTTTAATAAAACTCATCCTCTCAAGCGGTAAGTTCATATAGTCCTTCGCGATTAGAACTACCCACTCAACTCTGGGTTATGAACTTATTAAGAATAGATATTCAGCCAAAATCGGTAAATTCATCAAGTCTTTCTCACTAAGACCACCCAAAGCCTGGGCTATGAATTTATTAAGAGCAATTAAGCTCATTCTGGGCATGCACATTATTCATCATAGGGATAGGTAGTAGGAATGTGCACTATGAGTCTTTTTATGGTTTCGTTTGACCACATGGAACTTAGATAACTAAGTTGGGTATCCACCATGAATTCCTCAACCAATGGGCTTTAGACCCATCCCCCTCGACGAATCTAGGACCAAGGATCTTCTAGGTTCCTTTCCGACTTCACATACTCTAAAGAGAGCACTCTATTCTTTATTAAGTGTCTAACTGATTCATGTCTTATGCGAATGTGTCTTTTCTTACCATTGTAAGTTTGGTTCTTAGCCACACATATCGCAGCTTGTGAATCACACAACAATGAAACTGGAGGAGTCGGTCTTCCCCACAACGGAATATCTGCTAACAAGCTTCTGAGCCACTCGGCTTCTTGCCCAGCTAGGTCAAGAGCTATAAACTCTGACTCCATGGTAGAACGAGCAATACAAGTATACTTTGATGATTTCCACGAGATTGCTGCTCCACCCAAAGTAAAAACATACCCGCTCGTAGAGCTTACCTCATCATTATCAGAAACCCAGTTGACATCACAATATCCTTCCATTACCGCAGGAAAGCCAACGAACTCAAGTTTCCAATCCAAAGTACCCTTAAGATACTTCAGTAAGCGTTTAAGAGCAATCCAGTGTTCACCACTCAGATTCTGAGTATATCTACTCAGTCTACTCATAGCATAAGTAATATCAGGTCGAGTATAGTTCATTAAGAACATTAAGCTTCCGATTAATTTAGCATATTCAGTTTGGGAAACGTTACTTCCTTTATTCTTAAAGAGATATATGCTAGGGTCACAAGGGTTCGAACAGGGACGACATCAAAACTGTCAAATTTCTTTAACACTTTCTCAAGATAGTGTGCTTGACTTAAAGAAAATCCCTTTTCCGTTTTGGTAATTTTGACTCCTAAGATTACATTTACTTCTCCCAAATTTGTTATCTCAAATTTAGTGGACAAGAAACTTTTTTTTTGTTAATGGACTCAATGTTAGAACTGAAAATCAACATGTCATCAACATAAAAAACTTATGATGACGTAATCAGTACCAAACATCCTCAAATACACACAAGCATCCGAACCATTCACAACAAAACCAAAACTAAGTATAGTTTTATGAAATTTCTTGTACCATTATTCCCATATAGATCTCCTCATCTAGATCTCCATTCAAAAATGCAGTCTTAACATCCATTTGATGTACTTGCAACTTATGAATAGAGGCTAGTGCAAATAATGCATGGATCTTTGAGATGTTTATAACAGGGAAGTAAGAATCAAAGTAGTCTAAAACAAACTTGTGAGTGAACCCTTTCACAAGTAGCCTTGCCTTGTACCACTGGATCAAACCATCTGGTCTCATTTTCTTCCGGAAGGTTCATTTGTTACAGATTGGTTTAAATCCTCTAGGCAAGTAAACTAATTCTCAAGTATGATTAGACATTATCGATTCTAGTTCATCATTAATAGCGCTTTTCTAGAACTAGTATCGATAGATCTTATAGCCTTTTAGGATCCTCTTATAATATTTAAGCTATATGATCAGAAAGAGAGTCTAAATCATTTATCTCAGAAATAAAGGAAGTGATAAAATTTTGGTCCAAATAGCCTTTTACTTCTTCTAGTCTCGAAATCAATTTCTTGAGAAGACCTAGCAGGAATACTAGAAGAAGTTGATAGAATATTTTCTATTTAAGTTTATGCATTTAATCTACATTTTAAGACACCCCCACATTTCTAACATTTTAGGATATCCATAAGTGTCTTCTAAAACGTGTAAACAAATACTCACTCATACTAGAGTAAAGTTTGTTATGAGTTTTAGCCATAAAACTATATTTTAACAAACTCAAGTTTTGTTTACACATAATTCTCAAAGTTTTGAGAAATTTACAAATCATTAAGATTAAAATGCATAAACCATTATGAAATAGATAATCTCTTTTCTTTCCACTACTTAGGAAAATCACTTAAAGAGATTTAATAGCTACAACACACTTTTAGTAGCAATAGTGTCTAGCATATTCTCATTCATGATATTCAACATATTAGCCTTAAAGAGATCATCATATATTTTATTTACTATGACTAAATTTGGTATTCCACTAAACCAAATTAATCTATACTATTTTAACTTCTGCACTAAGTTTTAAGAGTTTTTTTATCTTGTCATAGTATTTTATAAATTGGAATAGTGAGCATAGTAATGAACAATGCACCAGGTAGGTTTCTATGAAAGAGAGGTGGTGCACTAGGCACGCTTAAGTACCAAGTCTTTATAGAACCAATCCTAGACATGCATTTTCATACTCATCACACTATTTTCCAATAAATTATTTATAAATTTTCTCTTCTTAAGGCTTTCTTAAAGAATTATGCTTGATACTTTTACTCACAATAGTATCTTATTAAGCACATATATTTCGGGCTTGCACTAATACATTATTCTTAGTAGCACTACCTTAGTCTTTACTAGTGGTTTTTATCTCATCTCATAGTATTTCCACTAAGTTTTAAAGACTAACTCAAAGGCACATCTATACTAATTCATGCATCATTATAAGCATAAATTAATAAGTAACAAGTCTAAATAGTCTGACCTCGCAGGTATAATCATAATTTCCAAATAGACTTGTTCATCCTCACCATACATGCTACTTCATTCTTTGCATCATGATTTTTAATCAGCATGACCCCAAAATCTATCGTGACCATCACTTCATCTGAACCAGCATCTCTTTTGTATCTTCTGAAGTCAAATGAAGAATATACATGGTTAGTCACGAAATTAATTTACTAACAATAATTTGATAATTTATTGATAGTGACAAGATCCTTATCTTTAGGATTTTGACATCTTATCTTCAAGAGATTGTGGAAATCAAATCCAATTTAACAACTATTCAGTTTGAAGAATCTTCTCGTTCAACATCATCATCTTCATGATTCTCCAAAATTTCAACTGTTCTGTTATCACTTTATAAATTTCTCAAAAGAAATTATTAGTACGGTAAAAATATTTATAATTATTTTCACCTTAGTTTTCAAGAACTATATTACTCCCCACATGGGAATAAGTTATTTTATATCTCCGCATGAACCAAATATCACACATGTATTATCTCTCGTACCCATATATCAACTATCATCAATTCATAATTTGATGATGTATTAATTTAATATTAATCTTTCAAACCACATGATTAATATATTATTGTGCATTTATAAATGCAAACAATGCA